AGAAAGTGCTGCCCCTGTTGACAGATTTGCGAGGTGATGAACCAGAGGTGAGCAACTCAGCCCAGCGAATGATAGAAACTCAAATTTCGGAGGATGTTCTCGCCGTGCACTTTCGGATGATCGTGCCGCCCCTGCTGTCAGACCCGAAGCTGCAGTCGTGGTCGTTTGACCTTCTCCGGGGCAAGATGTCTGCAGAGCAGCTGATTGAGCACCTTGATGTGGTCGTATCGGGCCTGACCAGTCACCGGCCCAGGCAAGATGAGCAGGTGAAGGAGCGGACCTTCGACTTCATTGAAATGCAAATGCCAGCTGTCATTCACGCACAGCATGTCCAGAAGGTCGTTGCGCTCTTAGCGAATCCGGAGGCGAACAGCTGGGCATTGAATCTCTTGCTGGAGCGGACGTGTGGCACGTTGCTGGCAGAGCATTGGGAGAAGATGTTCACTGTTGTCTATGACGCTAGCTTCGGGATGAACCGGAAGACGCTGTCTGTCTCGGCGGAGTCAATTCCCGATAAGCTCTTGGGCTTCATGCAAAAGCAGATGCCGGGCATGCTGAATGCATCGCATGCCCAGAAGATAGTGGCGCTGCTGGCGGTCCCAGATAGGAAGGTGAGGAGCTGGGCGCTGGGTCTCCTGCGGGAGAGAATGCCCGGCGAGCTGCTGGCAGAGAATTCGGTGTTGATGGAGGAGCTGTGGCAGAAAGTGCTGCCCCTGTTGAAAGATTTGCGAGGTGATGAACCAGAGGTGAGCAACTCAGCCCAGCGAATGATAGAAACTCAGATTTCGGAGGATGTTCTCGCCGTGCACTTTCGGATGATCGTGCCGCCCCTGCTGTCAGACCCGAAGCTGCAGTCGTGGTCTTTTGACCTTCTCAGGGACAAGATTTCTGCAGAGCAGCTGATTGAGCACATTGATGTGGTCGTATCGGAACTGACCAACCAAGATGCGCAGGTGAAGAAACGAACTTTCAAATTCATTGAAGTGCAATTGCCGGCTGTGATGCACGCAGAGCATGTCCGGATGATCGTGGCATGCTTGTGGCAATCAGATTTGAAGGCGAAGGAGTGGGCTTTGACACTCTTGACGCAGCGGATGCCCAGCGCGCTCCTCGCCGACTATTTGCAGAAGATCGGACCCTTCCTGCATGATGATCGTCTTGCCTCCGCCGCCGCCGTGCTCTTTGTGAAGAAGGGCTCCAGCCTCTCAAGGGCGCAACTTGCCCAGCACTCCGAGCGGCTTGCAGTACTGCTTCTGAAGAACTGCAGCGTAAAGCTTGAAGTAACTTTGACGAAGATCCTCGGGAAGATCCTCGGGATTCGACACGACCTGGGGAACAACAGTGAGACGTTCGAGCTTCTCTCGAAGCTCCGGGTTTCTTGCCTCGTCAAATTGCGCACTAAGCACCTTTCCGAGTGGCGAGATGAGTCTGGCAACACGTGGCTGCACTTGGCGGCCAAAGCAGGCCACCTCGAGGCCTGCAAGGCCCTGGTGGACACGGCGGGCCTCGCCCTGCGCGCCCAAAACCAAGCTGGCCACGAGCCGCTCACGCTTGCGGCGACTCGCGAATGTGGATCGGTTCCTGCGGAGCAAGATGCACTTCCAAGAGACCCGCTTCGGCCACGGGAATGCCTACGATGAGATGGAGAAGGAGGAGAGATCCGTCACCAAGGTCGTGTGGTACACCGTGCCTCTCCCGGGCATGGCGGGCCACTTGGGCGGCCTGCACTCCTTCCTCGTCATCACCGTCTCTGGTGGAGAGGCGAACCAAGCAGCAACGAGAAGGTACGTGCTCGAGAAGGCCGGGTCGGTTGGCAGGGAGGCACATCAGAAGCATGGCGTCTTCGTCGGGAACCAAGATCTTGGAGCCAACTTGACGAGCGTCCCAGGTCGGAAAGCACGCAAGGCACTGAGCCTTGCCAGTGGCAACCTCAAGGAGGGACTGCAGATGAAGCGGCTGCACGAGGAAGCTAGCAACACGGGGCCATACGATCTGGCATCTTCCAACTGCCACCACGCGGCCCAAAGGGTTTTCAACCGCTGTTGCACTCGGGAAGAAGACCGGGAGGCAAGTCCCCCCAACCAATGGCTGGCGAAGTTGGCGGCCCCACTTGGCCTCGGTGGCCTGTTCAACTCAACTTGCTCAACTTCCGAAGGCTCAGGATCCGAGGTCGCCTCCTCGGAGTCCGAGGTGGCCTCGTCAGGCTGCCGCCTTGTGGACCCCCCCAGCGGCTTCACGTCACCGGTTGATTTTTACTCCGACGCCGTTGCCAAGGTGGCCGCTGCCCTCAGCTATGCTGTGTACGAAGAGGCAAGCGTCTTGAAGCCGACAGATGAAGGTGCCGTTGTGATTCACAATATGTTGGACAGGGCAGTGGTCGTGCACGAGCCTGCGGCTGACGAGCGACGCAGAGTCGCAGCAGGCGAGGAAATCAGCATGCTCATCCAAGAGGAGAAAGTTACGGTGGATGTCTATGCAGCCGCACGGATTCCAGGACTCTATCGCCACCGGCGTCTGGCCCGAAACCAACCTGTTTGGAGAGGCCGTCGCTATGACGTGGCAATGGACTGTCGAAGTGAAGCAGTTGTATTGAAGGAGGTGACACCACTTGAAGGAATGGACAACGTGGACGTGCTTCACTTCACCAGGAAGGCACAAGGCAAGAGCCCGGTGCAGTGGCTCCTCGCCAGATCGGGCGCTACTCTGTACCTTTGCTTCCGTGGGACGGATGACGTGCAAGACCTTGCAATTGACCTCAGCGCTGTGCCGGACTACTTCAGATTCAAAAAGCACGGCATGGGTGTGCATGCTGGCATCGCCCACGTCCTGGAGCAGGAGGGAGAGAACGTCGACCATGTGGTGAACGAGGTCTGGACTGCGTTGAACAACCACCGTCGAGCAGGAGATCAGTTGGTGCTCTGTGGCCATTCGCTCGGTGGCGGCTACGCCCAAGTCATGGCCATCCACCTGCTGATTCGGAGAGTGGACGTCTCGGCCGTCCGCACCTTCGGCGCGCCCCACGTCCTGGTCGCTCCGAAGGCTGGAGCTTCTCAGACATTGTGGCGGAATCTTCACGCCATCACGCAGCACTGGGTGCACGACTGGGATCCCGTCCCCAGGCTTCCGCTCTGCCAAGCCTGGCTGGTGGATGTCCTGCCCAGGCTCAAGAAGGAAGTGACGAAAGGCATCAGGGTTGGCATTGCCCAGAAGTACATCGAGAACCTTCAGTGGAATTGCAATGCAAGCAGTGCGCAGATGTTGAATCAATACGATGTGGTGGGTCAAGTGGTGCTGGTGAGCTTAGCCAGCGGCTCGGCCCACGTAGCCAGTGAAGGCGCGGCGCCACTGAAGGAGCTTCTCAGTGAGAAGCCGCCTCAGGCAGCCATGACTCTCAGCCAGATCCCAGCTTACCACAGCATGCCGGACTACTATGACCTTGCACGAAGATTGACGAAGTGACGGGCCGCAGAAGCACGGCATGCGTCGTTTCGCTGGCTTGTCAGCAAAGGGGTATACTACGTATATCATCTGGGGAGCAATCGTTGCCCAACAGCGGCATCCTGCGGACGAAAACAGAGCACAGCGACCTTCCATCTCCTTCCTCGCCAGGCTCTTGTGCAGTCCGAGATGTCGGGTAGCAGCAGCTATATGTGTGCAATGTCCTTTCCCAGGAAGCCTGGCAGCGGCAGCACTTGCACCGGCCTCAAAGAGGCGCTGCACCTTCAGGGCCATTGGGCCCTCCACTCCCGGCGTGCTGCGTAAGGACCGGTGGCAGGTCGATGGTCGATGCTGATGTTGTGTTTTCCCTAAACACACCACCCTAAACCCTAAACCCTACAAGCCAAACTCATAAGACCTAAGCCGCAGCCTGTTGATTGCATCCGAGATCGTTTAAAGAAGGCCGAAGTGCACCTATGCAGATTTCCGACATCCCTAAGTGCGCACCCGTGCCCCCGCGCATGTGTTCCATACTGCATACTGTAGCCCCAAATGTGAGGGGCCCCCCTCAAGCCATCTGAAGCTTATGGGATAAACGTATGGGGCTTGCGCGTTGATTGGCTTTCTGGGTTTGTCGGGCTTAGGTTTCTCAATCCCGGTCGCCCAAGAAGAACGCCAGCTCAGGTTTTGTTTGGTGATTCTCCGGCGGAGGCCGTTGCCAAGCCCGCTCAACTTCAACGGGCCAACTAGGACGGCTTCGGACTGAGAGTTTCATTGCTAGGATTAGCTTAGCTGCTGCCATCTTGTCTGCACCTTCCTGTAGGCATGTGAGGCGAGTTGCTCCTAGTAGCACGAGACGCGTTGGACCTCGCAGGAGCCCTTCAGCTCCTGAGCCCTGACGAGGGTGCAAAGCTCTGGCGAAGCACCCAGGCTTGTACGTGCTCGGGCAGGATGCCACTGCGGGGTCAACTGCACACAAACGTGCCCGCCCTTGCCAATATAGCGTCGACCGTGACCCACAAGTAAGTCCCTATGCGCGAAGAAGCCGACGACTGCCCCCGTGCTGGTGTAAGTTCGCAGTGGAGGCCACCTGCAGACAGGGCCGAGGCGACCTTGACGGTTTTGAGTCGGAGCATGTCTTGGCTCGGGCTTGAAAGAGGAGCTTTGAAGGGCAGGTGGCAGCACACCAACAGCAAGAGAAGGGGAGCTCGATCTCGATGTTTGGCACCTAATTATTATCCTGGTATGTAACACTTGAGGAGCTGCGGGCACATCATTGGGAGTTTGTCGTGCAAAAGTGAGATTGAGACGCAGGCTTGCGTCGTCATCGTGGACCGCAGCAAGGTCCAAGCTCAGGTGGAGCGCTCAGATTGCAGGGGAGGCTAGCAGGGCACCCAGGTCGGAGAGCTTTCCAATCGCATGTCGGTTTAAGATGAAGACCTTCCGTAAGCCGTAAAGAGCTTCCATCTCTCAGGCTTGCTCGCTTGTCTGTCAGCGTAGCCTGAAGCCTAATGAAGGCTCAAGCTGTTGCGAGTTCTTTCGCCACTGGGTAGCACTGCCCAATGGACCTGGACTTCGAAGCGTGCCTTCGCCTCTTCAAGGCGTGGCTTCACCTCTTCGCGGCATGGCTGCGCCTTTTCGTGGCATGGCTTCGCCCGCCATCGCAAGTCGATGACATAGTGCAGTTCCTGGAACACCCAGGAGTGACAGCAAGAATTGGAGCCTTGTGTCTTCTGATGCGGTGGCACGTGCCAGAGCGTTTGGATTGGGCGAAGGTGATTCCACGTCTGGCTGATCCGAACTGGATCGTCCGCTGCAAGGCTGGGAGGTTACTGGCGGAGGAGATGCCGAGCGAGGTCATCCCCGAGTGTTGGGCGGCGATGCTCAATTCCATGATGAAACATGAAGATCCTCGGGCGCGTTTCTCACCTCAAGAGCTCTTGGAAAAGAGGCTCTCCACCAATGTTCTTGCCGCGCACTTCGGGAAGATTGTGCCCTCCCTGTTGACAGAACCGAAGCTTCAGTCGTGGTCGTTTGACTTCTTGAGAAGCAGGATGTCTGCAGAGCAGCTTGTTGAGCACATTGATATCGCACCTGACCAGTCAGGACGAGCCAGCGAGGAAGCGGACCTTCGAATTCATCGAAGAGCAGATGCCGGGCGTGCTGAGTGCGAAGCATGTCCAGAAGATGGTGGTGCTCCTGGCGATCTCAGATAGGGAGGCGAAACGCTGCGCGCCGACTCCCCTGCGAGATCCGATGCATGAGGTGAGGAGCTGGGCGCTGAGTCTCCTGCGAGAGAGGATGCTCAGTGAGCTGCTGGCAGAGAGTTCGGACCTGATGGCCGATCTATGGCAGAAGCTGCTGCCGTGCTTGACAACTGATGACTCAGAGGTGAGCAACTCAGCCCGGAAGCTTGTAACAGCTAAGCTTTCGAAGGGTGTTCTCGCCATGCACTTCGGAATGATCGTGCCACGCCTGTTGACAGACCCGAAGCTGCAGTCGTGGTCGTTTGACCTCCTGAGAGGCAAGATGTCGGCAGACCATCTCGTTGAGCACGTGGATGTGGTCATATCGCACCTGACCAGTCAGGACGAGCCAGCGAGGAAGCGGACCTTCGAATTCATCGAAGAGCAGATGCCGGGCGTGCTGAGTGCGAAGCATGTCCAGAAGACGCTGCGCGCCGACTCCCCTGCGAGATCCGATGCATGAGGTGAGGAGCTGGGCGCTGAGTCTCCTGCGAGAGAGGATGCTCAGTGAGCTGCTGGCAGAGAGTTCGGACCTGATGGCCGATCTATGGCAGAAGCTGCTGCCGTGCTTGACAACTGATGACTCAGAGGTGAGCAACTCAGCCCGGAAGCTTGTAACAGCTAAGCTTTCGAAGGGTGTTCTCGCCATGCACTTCGGAATGATCGTGCCACGCCTGTTGACAGACCCGAAGCTGCAGTCGTGGTCGTTTGACCTCCTGAGAGGCAAGATGTCGGCAGACCATCTCGTTGAGCACGTGGATGTGGTCATATCGCACCTGACCAGTCAGGACGAGCCAGCGAGGAAGCGGACCTTCGAATTCATCGAAGAGCAGATGCCGGGCGTGCTGAGTGCGAAGCATGTCCAGAAGATAGTGGATCTCCTGAATACTTCAGGTTTTGAAGCGACGAAGTGGGCTTTGACCCTCCTGACTCAGCGGATGCCTAGTGAGCTCCTCGCCGACCATTTGCAGAAGATCGCACCCTTCCTGCATGATGATCGTCTTGCCTCCGTGGCCGCCGTGCTCTTTGTGAAGAAGGGCTCCAGCCTCTCAAGGGCGCAGCTTGCCGAGCACTCCGAGCGGCTTGCAGTACTGCTTCTGAAGAGCTGCAGCGCAAAGCTTGAAGACACTTTGAGGAAGATTGTCGGGATTCTTCGACCTGGCCAGCACCACAGCGAGACAGCAAAGCTCCTCTCCAAGCTGCCAGTCTCCTGCATCATTGAAGTGTGTAGAGAGCAAGTCTCCGAGTGGCGAGATGAGTTTGGCAACACGTGGCTGCACCTGGCGGCCAGAGCAGGTCATCTGGAGGCCTGCCAGGCCCTGGTGGACATGGCGGGCCTCGCCCTGCACGCCCAAAACCGTGCTGGCGAGGAGCCGCTGGCCCTGGCAGCCACTCGCGAACTGGATCGGTTCCTTCGTAGCAAGATGCACTTCCAACAGACCCGCTTCGGCCATGGGAATGCCTACGACGAGATGGAGAATGATAAGAGGCCGATAACTGAGGTGGTGTGGTACACGGTGCCCCTCCCCGGCATGGCGGGCCACTTGGGAGGCCTGCACTCCTTCCTCGTCATCACCGTCTCTGGTGGAGAGGCGAACCAAGCAGCAACGAAAAGGTACGTGCTCGAGAAGGCCGGGTCAGCTGGCAGGGAGGCCCATCAGAAGCACGGCGTCTTCGTCGGGAACCAGGATCTTGGAGCCAACTTGACGGGCGTTCCAGGCCTGCGAACTCACAAGAAACTAAGGCTAGCCAACACCAGCAAGCTCAAGGAGGGACTGCAGATGGAGCAACTGCATGAGGAAGCGCACGGCACGGGGCCATACGATTTGGCATCTTCCAACTGCCACCACGCGGCCCAAAGGGTTTTCAACCGCTGTTGCACTCGGGAAGAAGACCGGGAGGCAAGTCCCCCCAACCAATGGCTGGCGAAGTTGGCGGCCCCACTTGGCCTCGGTGGCCTGTTCAACTCAACTTGCTCAACTTCCGAAGGCTCAGGATCCGAGGTCGCCTCCTCGGAGTCCGAGGTGGCCTCGTCAGGCTGCCGCCTTGTGGAGCAACCAAGTGACTTCACGTCACCCGTAGATCTCCACTCCGATGCCTTTGCCAAGAATGCCGCTGCTCTGAGTTGTGCTGTGTATGAAGAGGATGCTGCAAGCGTGTTGACGCCGACAGATGGAGGTGCTGTTGTCATCCACAACAAGTTGGGTAGAGCAGTGGTCGTGTACGAGCCTGCAGCTGGTTCTAAACGCAGAGTGGAAACAGACGCGAGAATCATCATCGGCATGCAGGAGGAGAAAGTCACGGTGGATGTTTACGCTGTCGCATGGGTTCCGGGACTCTATCCCCACAGGCGCCTTGCCCAAAACCAGCCAGTTTGGAGAGGTCATGCGTACGACTTGACCATGGACTTTCGCAACAATGTTGAGCTGCAGGAGGTAGTACAGCCCGCCCAGTTAGATGAGGTGGACGTGCTCCATGTCACTAGGAAGGCCAACAGCAAGAGCCCGGTGCAGTGGCTCCTCGCCAGGTCGGGCACTGCCCTGTACCTTTGCTTCCGCGGAACGGATGACGTGCAAGATGCTGCAATCGACCTCAGCGCCGTGCCGGACTGCTTCAGATTCAAGGAACACGGCCTGGGTGTGCACGGTGGAATCGCCCACGTCCTGGAGCAGGAGGGAGAGAACGTCGACCATGTGGTGAAAGAGGTCTTCAAGGTATTGAACCAGCACCGCCGATCTGGAGATCAACTGGTCCTCTGTGGCCATTCGCTCGGTGGCGGCTACGCCCAAGTCATGGCCGTCCACTTGTTGAGCCTGAACGTGGACGTCTCGGCCGTCCGCACCTTCGGCGCCCCCCATGTCCTTGTTCCACAGGCAGGAACAGCTCAGACGATGTGGCACAAGCTGCACGCCATCACGCAGCACTGGGTTCACGACTGGGATCCCGTCCCCAGGCTACCGCTTTGCCAAACCTGGCTGGTGGATGTCCTGCCCAGGCTCAAGAAGGAAGTGGTGAAAGGCGTCAGGGTTGGCATCGCGCAGAAGTACATCGAGAACCTTCAGCGGAATTGCAATGCAAGCAGTGCGCAGATGTTGAATCAATACGATGTGGTGGGTCAAGTGGTGCTGGTGAGCATGGCCTCTGGCTCTGCCCACGTAGCCAGTGAAGGCGCGGCGCCACTGAAGGAGCTTCTCAGTGAGAAGCCGCCAGAGGCAGCCATGACTCTCAGCCAGATCCCAGCCTACCACAGCATGCCGGACTATTTGGACCTTGCACGAAGACTGACGAAGTGACGGGCCGCAGAAGCGCGACCTGCATCATCACGCTGGGACATCAGTGAAGGGGTATACACTATGTATACCATCCGGGGAGGAATCGTTGCCCAAAAGTGGCATCCAGGGGGCGAAAACAGAACAGTATCTCGCGCATGTGGATGCTGATGATCTTAGTTCCCACGTGTAGAGCTTTCAATGGGTCTGAGCCCCAACTTTCCGAGGTCCTGGTGGGGCAGAAGCAGCAGGCAGCGACAGGGAACTGAACGACATAGAAGAATTAGGTGTTGTGTATTTATTGAACAAGTGTAAAGTGAATCTAGGCAGTAGGTCGGGCGTCTCCGGCATGTCTAGCCAAAACCGGCTGAGAGTTGGTCTTGACATGCGTAGCTTCTCAACCCATCTTGAGCCGCTTGAAGTTGCGCGTGCTGCTGGCTGCTTTGGCCCACAAGTCTTCAGTCTTTGCAACAGAAAGCAAAACAAACTCCTTTAAAATGGACCTACGGCCTACAGTGTCGACAGCAGTTGGGCTAAGCACTGAAGATGTCACATTTTGCCGATAGGTTCCTGCATCTGACTCCTACCGCTATGTTCTCTAGAAGTGGAGCGCAACAAACACCACAGCTACATGCACAGCCGCAGTGGAAGCCCTGCAGGCCTGAAGATGCGGTGCACCCATCTGCTGCTCGGCGAGGACTTTCGGCCACGAAGCCATCTGTGGATTGCCCGTTGCGGAAAGAAGGGAGCAAGACCTTGTTCAGACATGTTGCCGACGCGCGTCTGGTTTGGGTGATATGTCTGGCATGATGATATGAGACGATGTGGGATTTGTGTTGCGTGTTTAAAGTCTGACCTCTTCAGGGAGTCACCTGCTGGCGGTCTCTTATGGTTCGCATGCTTGTGAGGCAGATTTTAAATCATTCGTTCATAAGCAAGTTTGCTTGGAACATGCAGCCTGAAGGGAGTGTGCTGTTTTAAGGTCTGGCGCATAGGCCTTAGAGACAGCACGGGTGGGTGCTCTTTGGGGCTGTAAGGACCGCGACATTCTTCTCTTCGAATGAGGTTGAAGGCACCTTTATTGGTGATGTTATTGAAGATGTTCGTTTACGGTTGGCGGGAGCGAGCCACGGGACACATTCCCCCCAAGGGGCAGACACAACGAAAGCACACCAGCAACTTAAATCCGACCCCGGCAAGGGAACAATCCACTTTCGGGCGCCGAGAAATGCCCGTAAACCCTAAACCCTAAACCCTAAATCACAGGGCATGGTCCGTTCATAGCCAGGAGGAGTGGGCACCATGCCGATGGCTGGGCCAATCTCGCGGGCGACTGAGACTCGGTATCCATCTGCCATTCTGCACACCCTCAACCCAAAATGCCAGGACTCAAGACCCTAAAGCCCTAAAACCCCTGAACCTTCCCAAAAACCCTCTATGCACACACTCATGCCATTTACGGCTCCTTCAACTTGTCCTTAGAACTGACAAGTCTAGCGCCATCCACAGCTGCGGGCCTGCAGCCCGGATCCGAACCATGACCTGCCTTAGGACTTAACTAGCCCAAAGGGTCCATGTACCGAAATAGAGAATACTTGGGCCTTAAAGTGCTTCCTAAAAAGGGACTTTTGGGGCCCAAGTATATAATAATGAGGTACATGGACCCTTAGGGTAGGACCCAGAGGTAAAGGCTTTGTTTTTGGGGCTTAGGCTCTCTTATAGGCCCTTTCGAACCAAAAAGGGCTCAGGGCACCCTTTTTTTTCCTAGGTTTCTTTCGGGTCTGGTTAAGGTTGGGAGGGTTTGATTGGGGTTTTATGGCATGGTTTAGTGCTCTTTGCAAGGGCAGGGTTTACTCTTGAGGCTTTGCTAGGGCACCCAAGAGGTCTTGGTTGAAAAGGTATTTAGGTCACCAGAGGTTTCAGGCTGAGGGTTTGTGTAAAACATCTTCGTGGGTTTACAAAGGGGCTCTCCCAGTCCAGAATCAACAGCGTCAATGGGCTCTCTGGGGCAGAAATAAGCGAAACCCTGCGCGCCAGGTCACTGAGATGCTCCACAACTTCGTGTGGATGGAAGAAGTGTGGCAGCCCAGCCTAAAAGTTTGATGATTCTTGATGGGAGCCCAGGAAAATTTCTACAAAGAATTTAAGTCAGAGGCCGGTGTTTCGGCACCCCGAGCGCACCTGCGACCTTCAACCGCATCTGCCTCAAGAATGCCCTGCCGCAAAGATAGTCGGTTTTAAGGGGCCCAACAATCGCGCTGCCGGGAGCCATGCAGGTCGCGCAGCGTCAGCTCCGCCGACCGTTTTCCACGGGCTTGCGTGCCAAGGATATTCCAGGACCCAAGGCATGGCCTCTGTTGGGGGCACTGCCCGACTTTCTGCAGCGCACTGGTGGCATGGCACCTCCGAAAGGCCCGATGATGCTGAAGGCCCACGACGGCTACTACAAGGAGTTTGGCAGCATCTACAAGCTGTCGCTTCCGGGCGACGAGCAAATTGCAGTCTGCAGGCCGGAGACCTTCATGCAGATGTACCGAAATGAGGGCATGTATCCGGTCGGTGGTTTCTCGCTGATGTGGCCGATGGTAAAGTGGGCCGAGGAGACCAAAAAGCAGGTCTACCTCGACTGGATTGGCGCCGGAGAGCCCTGGCGCAAGATTCGCCTCACGATGCAGGAGGATATCATCGGACCGAGGACTGCGAGAACGTACCTTCCGTACATCAACGAGGCCATGCGGATGGCCTCCCCCCACCTGCCGCACTTCAAGGACGAGCCCGACGTGTTTGTGACCCGCGTGGCCTTCGACATGTTCTGCTCCCTCTTTTATGGCGTGCAGATGAAGACAGCCTCGCCATCGCCAGACCCGGAGCATATCGGCTTTGTGAAGGACACGTCTGAAGCTTTCCGCTTGCTGGGACAGGGTATTTTCCAGCCACACCTGAAGAAGAGCATCTTCAAGTATCACCCATTCAACAAAAAGTTTACCGCCGCCTTGGAGCGCAGCTATGCCTACTCCAGCAAGCTCATGGACCAGGCGCTCGAAATGTCCAAGCAAGCACCCACGGAGGCCACCAAGCCGTACATCGTCCGCGTCCTTGAGCGCGAGAGCATGCCGGTGGAGAGCATAAAGGAGGTGGCGGCAAGCGTCCTGCAGGCAGGCATTGACACCACGCGGTCCGTGATCAATTGGAACCTGCTCTACCTTGCCACACACCCGGAGAAGCAGGAGCCTGGACAAGAAAAATGCAAGCAAGATTTAGCAAGACAGACGTTGCTCTGTCACGTTGACGCTACTCTTGCAAAATCCCTAAACCCTATATGCCCTCAGGAGCTCCTCCGCCGGGAGCTTCGGGAGACACTTGGCGACGGGGATTTGACAGAAGATGTGGCAGCAAACATGAAGATCAAGCTGCCCTACCTCAGGGGCGTGATCCGCGAGACGCACCGTGTGGCGCCTCCGACCTCCATCATGACGGCCCGCCCGGCACTCTCAGATCTGGTTCTCGACGGATACAACGTGCCCGCAGGTGCCACGGTGCTCTTCAACGCCTTCTCCGTGCAGAACGACCCTGGGTCATTGTCAGTTTACATCTTTTTTTAATGAACACTTCAACCCAAAAAGGAACAAAACTTAAACTTGATAAAGAACAAAAACCATCACTTTTTAAGCAGTACCCCAACCATGGTGCAGGACCCGAAGTATGTGGAGGAGCCCGAAGCCTTCCGACCCGAGCGTTGGCTGCCTCATGCCGTGGAGTCGCGCAAGGGCACCGAGGCAGAGGTGACCTGCTGTTGGTTAGTAGGGAATGAGGGAATAAGGTACCCTATATAATCCCTTAAAGGGTATATGGGTACATATGTATATATAGGAGGATACGAACCAACAGTAAGGTGATTGATGACAAGCTGCTAGCCACACCCTTCTCATTCGGTGCCCGGATGTGTTTGGGCGGCCGGGTGGCGGACCTGGAGATCTCGGCGGCCTTAGCGCACCTGATCCGGGATTGGCGTATCTCAGCGCCGGTGGAGCCAGGCTCCTGGAGGACGCTGCAGCCACTTCTGAGCAAGGCGCACCCTTTCCCGTCCTTCAAAGTGGAGCCCGCTTAAAGCGGCTCAGCTTGTGCCCTGTACGACCATTAACGAGTACAGTTACACAAGTGGGTTTTGGGAATTTTTGGGGTATGATGTACGAGACATAGATACTTCAAGAGTGGTGTGGGCTGTGCAAAGTACTCGCTTTGGGTAGGGCACCGTGGATGCCAGCGCCTTTTTTCCTGCACAGTTTTCATCTCGCAAAGCCGCCGAACCGAAGAAGAGAAAGCCAAAAGCCATCATCATCTGTTTCTTGTGATGTGCAGAGGTATCGCTCGCGACTGCTCAGGGACTAGGGCTTATAGGGTAATTGAAAAGGGTTTATAGGGTTTACAGGGTTTGTGGGGTGTTCAGGCTTCGTAGGTTTTACAGGGTTTACAGGGTTTATAGGGTCTGTAGGGTTTAGGTTAGGGTTTCGGCTTTAATTGTGGTCAAAACGGGTTTAGGGTAGGTGGTTGGCCTTTTGAGTCTGGAGCGTGAGGTTGTGTGTCATGCTGCTTCCTCCGTGTCTCTCTGCCTGTCCCCAACCCTAAACCCTAAACCCTAAACCCTAAACCCTAAACCCTAAACCCTAAACCCTAAACCCTAAACCCTAAACCCTAAACCCTAAACCCTAAACCCTAAACCCTAAACCCTACACGCCAAGGAGTGGAGAAGCGTTAGCCGGGCCATGGTCTCTCGTGGTGGCGCGCCGGCCGGCACCAGTGTTCTCATTATGGTTTTGGCCTATGCATGAAGAAATTGTGGCAAAAAAAGGAAATTAGATGTATATGTGTATATATATATATGTATATGTATATGTATATATGTATATATGTATATATGTATATATATATATATGTGTACACACAGTAGGGTTTAGGGTTTAGGGTCCAGGGTTCAGGGTTTAGGGTTTAGGGTTTAGGGTTTTTTTCACCACATTGTCGAAGGCATGAAGCTTTAAGTTTTAAGCCTCCCGGCAACCCCCGAGATCGCTAGTTTCGACTTCCGTCCAGGCGTCCAAAAGAGTTTAGGGTTCAAGACCAAGCCAACAACAAGTGCTCAGGATTTCTCGGGGGGGGGGGGGGGGGGGGGCGACAAGCTAGGGGACAGGGTGCTATGTCGGACACGGAGGACACCTTGATCTTCTTGTCTTGCAGCAGATCGAGGCCTAAAAGGCCCTAAGACCCTAAAGCCCTCAATTCCTAAACCCCTAAGACCCTAACCCCTAAACCCCCAAGAATCCTCAACCCAACACCCCTACACCCCTACACCCCTAAACTCTAAACCCTAAACCCTAAACCCTAAACCCCAAGAACTCCATACAAAAAACCAATCCGAGCATGAACAGCGATGTTTTGCCTCCAACCCCAAGGTGGGCTCTCCAGGTTGCCATAGGGTCTAGGGTGTAGGGTTTAGGGTTTAGGGTTTTGGGTTTAGGGTTTAGGGTTAGGGCTTCGGGTTTAGGGTGAGGTTTTAGGGCTGCTACACACACATGCACATACACTCATACACTCACACACCCAGACACTCTCAGACTCTCCCCCGCCCCTGTTCCTGTCTCTCTTCCTCTCTCTCCCGCACTCTCTCTGTCCCTCCTCTCTCCCTGCCTCCTCGCTATTTTGAGAGCCCCAAGGCAAACCAGCTGACCGCTGTACACAGCCTCTCACGCACAGCTATCAGACAGGGTTGAGAAAGCTTTAGGTTTCCCACATCATGAGAGCTTGTTGAGGCTTGGAAGTCTCCTGCCGCGCTTGGCTTCGTCATGCTCAGTCGCACCACACATGAGAGTGGACAGGGCACCCGGCGCCACTACCCAAACCCAGGCTTTCTGAGGCTGCCTTGCTCGACACTGCCGTTTGGCTTGCAGCACGTAGGGACATCGAGACACTTGCTTTGTGTCGCGTTTGAGATGCTGAGAAAGCAAGACACGCAGGCACATTGGCAGAGCAGCAACGGATCAGAGGTGCTCTTGCAACCATGCCGCACACACCCCCCGCTAGTCCATAAGTCCTGAACGGGTGCTTAGCCATCACCGACTTTCCCTGTGTTTACAGCACCTTTATTTGAGGGTTTCCGACAATAGGGGCACCCTTCTTGGGGGCTCCTTTTTCGAAAGGGTTACACAGCATTTTGGGGGTAGAAGCAAGGGGCACCCCGAATTTTCGTAGGCCCCTTGATTTCCGAGCCCAAAAGTAGTCACCTCCTTTGCTTTCCATGCCTGGGCCACCTTGGACTGGAGAGAGTGCCTCGTCTGCTGGTGATGCGGGGGCTTTTGGTGCCTCGAGACCTTGGGACTCTAAACCCCAGAAGCCTTATGCCCTAAACCCTAAACCCTAAACCCTAAACCCTAAACCCTAAACCCTAAACCCTAAACCCTAAACCCTAAACCCTAAACCCTAAACCCTAAACCCTAAACCCTAAACCCTAAACCCTAACAGTCCTACAAACAAAGGTCGAAACCACCAGCTTGTTGTTAAGAAGTTTCTTCGGCATTCCTCCGGGGGCATCAACTCCCAATGGTAAACCCTGGCGCTGTTCAGGGTTTAGGGTTTAGGGTTTAGGGTTTAGGGTTCTTCTTCTTCTTCTTCTGCTTTCTCAGTTGGCGGTAAGTGACAAAGAGTCGCACACTGGAATTCACATGCAAGCTGAGGTCCCGGCAAGTAAAGGCAAGAAACAGGGGCCACTCTGACATACTTCCGTAGCCGGAGACCTTGAGACCAAAAAGGTGCAGTTTAGGGTTTAGGGTTTAGGGTTTAGGATTTAGGATTTAGGGTTTAGGATTTAGGGTTTAGGGTCTAGGATTTAGGATTTAGGGTTTAGGGTTTATAGGGTTTAGGGTTTAGGGCTTGGCTTCCCAAACCTTCTGCAAGGCTTCAGTTTGGCCGCGCACATGGAAGCGGCGAGGAGGCCCTGCCACGTGAGGCGAGCGGCGGCAGTCAGAAACTCGCGAGGACGCATTTAGGGTTTAGGGTTTAGGGTTTAAGGTTTAGGGTTTAGGGTTTAGGGTCATGGTCGCATGCAGTCAGTTGACGTATCTCTGTAAGTAACAGAGCACGGAGAAGGCGAATGTCCAGCAGATTCGGGTCCAGAATTAGGGTGCAGGGGCCTTGTTTTCATGTCGCTAGGGCTGCTTTGCCGGCACAGGGTTCCCGCCAGCCACCTGCTTTGAGTCTGCAACCACATGGCAGAAGTGACTTAACCCTGACCCCGAAACCCTAAACCCCAATCCCTGAACCCTAAGCCCAGTCCCTAAACCCTAAACTTTGGCCCTAAACCCTCAACCATCAACCCTAAACCCTAAACCCTATATAACCCTAGTCAACATACAGGCCGTCGGCTGCTGGAGCAGTCCTGCCGTCGACGAGCCTGGGCGGCTTTCAGGGACCGAAGGTGTTGGGCAACAGCTGCCCTGAGGGCCCTCGACTCTGAGCTACACCCTAAACCCTAAACCCTAAACCCTAAACCCTAAACCCTAAACCCTAAACCCTAAACCCTAAACCCTAAGCCCTAAGCCCTAAGCTCTAAGCCCTAAACGAAGCCTTTCAAGCAACAGGTTTTTGGGGGCAGTTTTGGAGTAACCGCTGAACCTACAAGGGGCTAGCTTTCCCAGAACCCTCGCGGGGTTTAGGGTTGAAGGTTTATAGGGTTTGTAGGGTTTATAGGGTTTATAGGGTTTATAGGGTTTATAGGGTTTATAGGGTTTATAGGGTTTATAGGGTTTATAGGGTTTATAGGGTTGATAGGGTTGATAGGGTTGATAGGGTTGATAGGGTTGATAGGGTTGATAGGGTTGATAGGGTTGATAGGGTTGATAGGGTTGATAGTTAGGGATTAGGGGTTAGGGTTTAGGGTTTAGGGTTCGAGGTTTTCCAGGGTTTTCTAGGGGTTTCTAGGGTTTTGGGTTAGGGTTTCAAAGGGGTTCTGGGGTCCCAGCGAGTTTGTTTCCGATTCCAGGACTTGTGCTTGGTACTTGCACCAGCTTTACGCGCTTGCGCCGTGGGATGTGCAGCCGAGGTACATGTCACTGGAGACATCTGCCCTATCCATGGCCATTGAGATCTTGGCCTGTGCCTGACCCTCCCTGCGCGCCTCGTCAGGCTTCCCGAGTCTGAGGAGTGGGCAGGATTAGAGCACATGGCTGCAACCTGGGGCCTCTGGGGATTTGGGGGCCTCTGGGGCCCACAGAGCTGGAAGGCGGTGGTCTCGCCACAGCTCGTGTGCCCGGATGCCCTATCCCTTTGCACGCGGCTCCTTCCCGCTGCGCCGCTTCGGAGGATGGGCGCAGCTTTGGTGCTACGTCCCCCAGAAAAAGAGGCCAGCTGTAGCTCTTGGCTGGAAGGTGGCCGATGTGGCCCTGTCTGTGGGAGACGGTGGACACCTTGATCTTCCTGCCTTGCAGATCATGGTGGAACACCTCAACTTGATTTAGGCTTAAGGAACTCAAGCCTGGATTTCGGCTTTCGGTTTCGGAGGTTTAAGGTTCTAGCTTTCTGGCAGCCACGCCTCATCTCGCGCTGAAGCGCCAGCGCTTCTTGCTGCACTTCCGCCGTTCTACTCTTCCCCAGCCCCTCAACCCTAAACCCTAAACCCTATGAGGAGAATTACACACGGCGAGGCCATCGCCAGTTTTCTAGCAGGTCCAGCTGCGCGTCCCGTCGAATGATTCCCCAAATGCGTGTGCAGGTTCCCCATCAAGGCTCGGCCATGAAGCTCTTCCCATCAAGGCTGTGGCCACTTCTTTGGGGTTGCTTAGGGCTTGAGGGCCTTTAGGGAACTCTAGGGGCTTAGGGAGGGCTAGAGGGCTCAGCTGGCCTTGCTGATGTGGCAGAGCCTTCTGGGCCGGGGTCGCTCGGCTTCGGCCACCGAACGCGCAATCCTTCCTTTCTCAATGTCCTCATCGCAGCAGCTATCGTGTTGCACTTCTGCCTACCAGGTGCAGGCTTCATGTGTGGATGGGGTGTGACATATGGCAGGAGCGTTTTCGAAGGTCGGGGATCTGAGTTCAGGAGCTTGCTTCCAAGCTTGCCCATGAT